CCGCCCGGAGCTGCCAGCTTTAGGAGCCTCGGCGCCTCGACTTTCTTCGCTTCTTCACCCTTCTTGGGCGAGCCCCCCCGTCCACTTGCTTTTTTCTTTTCTTTCTCGCTTTCCTCCTCAAGGTGTGTGCTCCACTCCCCCCACCTTTGAAAAATACAGCCCAACTCCTCCTGGTTGGCAATTAATTTCTCTCCCCGCTCCTTTATCTGCCTTATTTCCCCCCTCTAACAGCTGGTTGCCTTCCTCCTTGTTTTATTTCATTTTATTTTATATGATTTCTCGCTCTTAAAAAAAAAAAAAGCTCCTCTAAGACACTGATCCGCTGAATTCCCTCCCCCCAAAAGATGCTCTAATTTATTTATTTTTTGCGTCCTTTATAACACAAGCCACAGCCCCCTTCTCCCCCCCGTCCCCCCTCCCCTCCCTCCTTCTTCACAAAATGAAAGGAAAGAGGGGGGAAAAATCCCTCAGAAGATGAGTAAACAAGCGTATGCTAATCTGCTCCCGAGCGCTCCACCTTCCCAATTGAATGAGTCCCAGTTAAAACTGCGGGGATCATGACTAATCAATCAGTTTGGAGAGGCCGAGCTACCCAGCCTTCCTCCACTTTCCCGTTTGCCTCCTTCGCTCCGCTTCTCCACCCCCTCCTTTTTTTTTTTTTTTTTCAAGAAGACAATCTTAAAGTAACAATTTAATGAAATTCTGTACACACCCCCTTATGGTCCTCCCAGCTCTCCTCATTCCTGCTCAAAACACACATTCCTGTTTTTGTTTTGGTTTGCTTGCTTTTTTCCCTCCTTCACTCCCCCCCACCCTTTTTTTTTTTCCTCCTGGCGGGAGAAAAATCTATCTCTTCTCTCAGGATCCCCTTTGCACTTTGCTGGTAAACCTCATCCTTCTCTATAGCACATAAAGAGTCTTGAAACTTGATTCTCAGATTTTGTTGTAATGCTGTCTCTTTCTCTCTCTCCCTCTTTCCCTTCTTCTTCTTTCCCTTCTCTTGCCTTCCCTCTCCTTTTTTTCTCCCTTTCTCCTTTTCCCTCTCAGAATTCCCTTAAAGTTATACAATGATGAACGTCCCCCTCTTCTCTGAGCCCCGGGTGCTTCTGGCTTCAGCTAGTCCAAATGTTGTCCCAAAGTCCTCACTGAATCATCAGAAGCAACCAGGAAAGGCATTTTCTGAGGCATTTGCCTTCCCGAAGCTGTACACTCAGCACAACTAGGTCTCTGAATACTCCTGAATACTCTTAAAAATATTCTGTTGGTTGTTAGAAATTATTTTATTTTTATATAAAAAATGAAAAAAACTATTATTTTGCCTTTTTTTTTTCGACCTAAGAAATTCAGGTGCTCTGACATTGTTCAAGTCACAGGTAAGGATCTAACCATTGGCTGCTTTGTAGATCTGTTTTGAACTGGGACATATATGTAATATATTTTTGTTCTTTTTTTTTCCCCCTCTTTGTAGAACTCAAAGGCTCCCCCTTATGGCAAAACAGTTCCTTTTTTTTTTTTTTTTTTTTTGCTTTTTTTTGTTTTTGTTTTTGTTTTTCCCTTCCAAGTGTTTAATAAGTTAAAATGAGTTAGCAGTGGTGGATTACAAATTATTAGTTACCGGTCTGTTCAAATAATGTAGTGATAAAAATATGCTGTGTGAGGTTTGCATGGGGATAGTGAGCTGGAAGAATTAACTCGACTTTCCTCCCTTGTATGTGTTCCTGTCCTCAGGGCTGCTCCAGACCCTGCCTGAGAGCTGGGGTCATTCTTGCATGCTTCAGAGAGAGTGAACACCGGTGGAGAATATGTGTTGGTGAAAGTATGCGGATTTGTAGAATGAGCAAATGACTCAGACATCCCCTATAAAAGCCGGAATGTGGTGTGCAGGGATTATGGCACCATTCTGAAGACGGGAGATCCCAGATTCAGATCTTGGTTTGGGAAGAACTTGCCATATAGTCTTAGACTAAGAATGTGTGAAATCAGCTTCTCCCGTTATAAAATGAAAATGGCATTATATCCTAAATATGTTTCCAGAGACTGGCTGAAAGAAGATGATCTTTGGTGCATAATGCCATGGATAAGGAATTTGCCTAGGCAAATCTTTCACTTTCCGCAACTCCAGGTCACTTATAAAAGTCATAAGATTGACATTCAATAATAATAAAGACCTATATTGAACTACATATAGTATATCCTGCAAAATCCCCCTGTTTTCTCAATAGGGGTTGGAACCTGACTACTAATTCACTTCAACTGTGGCTACTAGGTATTTGGAAACTGTATTCCTTCCAAGGGCTTCTAAGTCATTTTATACAATAGTTTTGAATATTCCTAGACATCTGGGACTTTGTCAACTCTCCCACCAAGAGTGAAAACACGGGACTTATAGTTCTAAGTCCCACTCACTCCACCATGTATCTGGAGCGAGTCGCTTAGCTAGCCCTGCACTTCCGAACCTTTAAAATGGGATATGTGTTTCACAAATGTGTTTTGAGGTTAAAATATACTTTGGGGTATATTTTGTAAACTATAAAAATGCTATATAAATCCATTTTATTCCACTGTTGTTGTCAAGGACCAAGTGCTCCTTAGGTTCTTAAAGACAAACAAAAATCTGGGAGGCCAAGTCACCATTTCTGTCCTGTGGCAGGCATGATGGGAAGGAATGGACAGGTCCAAGTCTCATAGATCCTTGAGCTTCTGGACCTCAGCCCCTAAATGTGTTGGAAGCAATTGGCAAGGCCTTTCACTGGTCTTTTCATGGAACATACATTTATTATTCTATCCCACCTGTCTTGGAAACCACACTTACTTTTATGCCTGTATGTATCTATGTACGCATATATGTGTTTGTTTTTAACTGAGCGAATAGAGCTGGATGAAATGTAACCCTTGGTTCATGACGCACCCTTATCATCGGCTTATACATTCCGCTCTTATTTATCTATATATAACAAATAATGTATCGAACGCTGCCATCCCTCTTCTACTCCATCCCTTAATGTCTCGTGGATTTGGCCCGTCTCCTTTCATCATTTGTGCTCAAAGAGCAATCATCTGAGAGTTAGGAGGCTTGAGTTCTCATTCTGACTGTGAATTCTTTGACCTCAGTTTACTCCTATGTAAAATGAAAGACCAGGAGTCGAAGATTCCTGAGATCACTTCCAAATCTGAAATGTAATGGAGCCCCTAATTGCTGGAATATGGCAATAATTCCCATCTAATCATCTCATATTTGGTCAATTCCCCCCCACCCCCCAAAAGGCCCCTTGTTTCTGGGGAATTTCATTCTAAAAACTACTTTTTAGAACAAAAAGAACTGTTCCTCCACTCTTAGGATATACTCCTTCAATATTCATTTTATTTGGTAGTAACTAAAAGCAAGGCATTTTGCCAAGGAGGTATAAGGGTTCAGTGGAAATTTGGAGGGCAACATCTAAGTGGAGTCGTAAAGTTTGAGAAGGGCTTGAATGAGTGAGGCCGGTTCAAAGTATGCATTTCAGAGTCACCCCGTCCTGGGTTCCTATGGCCTTCAGCAAGTCACTCAATTTCTCTGATCTCAGTGACCTTATCACGGAGCTGTCCTGAGGATGCTGTGCTGTGTGATACACTGTAGGAGCTCATTAAATGAGCAACCTTTCTTCCTTTCCAAGGATCTAAATTTCATGGCCCCTGAGGCTTTTGTCAGCTTTCATCTATAGCCTGAGCCCCACCTATTTCTTATTCCAAGGCAGAAGGATTATTCTTCCCTCAGAATTCCGAGGCAAGCATTGTCTGTCTGGTAGAATCTGGAACTTGATTAGATAGGATCCTCCTTTGTTCCTGGTGTCCTGTTTATGTTTTCTTTTCTACAAGATTAGAACCCATCTAGGGTAAGGATCTTCAAGGGCCAGTTATATCACCATACCCCTCCCCCACCATCCTGAAGGGGGCTCCCTCCTCTGGTCACTCATAAAACTTCCTCTGAATTTCTCTGGGCACATCCCCAAAGCCAACTCTCACACTTAATTATTTATCTGCTTGTCTCCCTTTTCGTGTGGGACAGAGTCTGTTGCATTCATACTTGTGTTTCCCCAAATGCCTAGTCCAGCACTTTGCTCATAACTATAGCTGCTGGTTCAGGAAAAAAAAAAAAATACACACACACACACACACACACACACACACACACAGACTTGTAAATCCATATACATGTGTAGATGTATGTATGTATATATTTTTGCTTCTCTATGATTCTTTGGTTCTTCCTATGATGCCAATATGGTCAGTGCTATGAACATATTAGGCTCTTCGTAAATGCATAATTTCTTTATTTTGCCAGCCTCCCCTCCCCCAGATGATGCATCTGAGGACACCCAGACAGATATACTGAAGTTCACTGGCTGCCCATGTGATGGTCACTCAAAAAAATGTGGGCTTTGGAGAAGAAATTGGATTCACATCTTACCTTTGCTAAAGAACAATTCTAATAACAGCTTACATTTATTGAGTATGCACTATGTTCCAAGCAATATTCAAATGCTTTTTATAGGAATGAGTCCATCTAATCCTCAGAACAAGCTGACAGAGGAAGTCTGATAATCATCCCATTTTACA